AAGGTGGCATTTTCAGGGCCCTTGTGCTACCTTTGCCACAGTTTCTGGAATTCTAGTTTAGTTTGAATACAGCCGACTACTCAAGAGATATTTATTGATACCTCTATGTATCCGGTACTCTGCTGGGTATGATAGGAATTCAGTGATAAATATGGATGCAACCTGAATTTGGATCTCTTAGGAAAGAGCTAATACACTATAGTTATAGATAATGCAGTGTGACTGCAATGATAGAAGTGCGCACGCACACACACACACACACACACACACACTAAAAGTACTGGAAGACCAGAGAGAAAATTCTGATGAAGCAATGATGAAATGATTCCAGTGAAAGTAGAGGGAAGAATGCATGAGACAGATGCAGTGGGCAAGAATGGAGAGACAAGACTTTGTTATACAGAAAATAATAAAAACAAAGGCAACGAACAAATAAAGTTATGCCACATCTAGGAATACTACATTCTTCTTTTTGGATTGCAACGCTGGACAGGTGAGGGGAAAATATGAGACAGTTTTATTGAGATCATATCATCAAGTTTTAAGCCAAGAATTCAACCTTCATCTTATGGGTCAAGGGAAATCATTGAAGGTCTTTAAGCGGCAAGATTACGTGATTAAAGCCATACTTTAGCAAGATTATTCTGATGTGAATGTGCTGATGAGTTTTGTGGGAAACTGGGGCTAGGGAGTTCATATAGAGAGACAGACCAGAATTCCAAACCCTTCTCAATAAATGCACAATTTATGTTGCCCTGGCAAAGATCCTCTTCTCCCTTTGAGATTTAGTCTACTACCAGCATAAATATACCTCTGTGTGAGTTAGAAAAGGGACCCCCATTGGGTAGGTGGAACCCATGAGCACACTATACTGTTTAAGAAGCAGACAGTATCTCGGTTCAAAGAAAAAAGCTTCCTCCGGGTCTCCAAGTAGATTTTTGCAATATGATGGGTTAAGGGGACATATTGAGTGTAACTGGGGTTGAGTTTTAGCTCTCATTCTCCACTTACCAGACATGGGATCATGGTTATCTTATCTGTGACTTGACAATATCAAGTCCTACCTTTTAGAATTGTGATTAGGACACACACCCAGGGTCTATAGAAGAGATTTGTAATAGATGTGCAATGAATGGTGATGGGGGTGATGGTGCTGGTGATAGTGAACAGCTACAGTCACAGTAATATTCGTTGTAATGTCTACTACTTATTTTGACTTCAGATATAAAGGGGTTAGACTAATATTCAGAGGCTGGAAATAAACAAGTGAATAAAAAATGTCAAAGAAAGAATGGATAGTACTTGACAACTAGTTGTATTTGCAAAGTGAGGGGGAATAAGTCAAGGCTGATTTTCAGTTTGGTGAACAGAAGACAACTGACCACACTCCAGACAGAAATAGTGAAGCTAGGAAGGGCTTTTGTGGGAAAGATGACAGGATCTGTGTTCTATGTGTTGTATGTGAAGGAAACAGGTATACAGATAGAAATATTCATCAGGTGATTGAAAATATGAGATTAGAACTGAACGTGTAGACATAGTACCTCTGAGATTCAAAGGCAGAATAAAGCTATAAGCACTGATGTCACCACTGAGGGAAGGCACATAAAGAAAGAGAGGAGAACACGGACAGAAGTAAGATTGCCTTAGTAGTTGCTACAAGTCATCCACTGCTCAATTCCAGAGGTTGCCATTCACAGCACAGTTCATGTGAGAAAAGCCCTCACCAAGAGAGACGGTGTCATTCTGTACGGTCACGTGTGGTGGTTCTGTTTCAGGATTTCCTATGCCTTGGACATGATGGAGAAAGCACACTGCACCTGGTCTGCAATGTAAGGAAAGGCCACAGAAACCCAAAGGAGTGGAACCTCCCTCTCCAGTTGACAGAGCTGTGATCCCCAAAAAGTGAAATGAACCTCTGTGGCTTGTTTTCTCTCTCTCTGCCCTTCTGTTTTGGGGCTCCTAATTCAGTCATGGACATACGTGATAGGACAAGGGAATTATAGGCGCAGATTTCTGCCTGGAGGACGAGAAAGGGGAGCCTCAGGGAAGAGGAAAGCCACAGAGAGATGGCAAAGAGGGCGAACTCAAGAAAGCTACTTCATTAAGTCGTTTATGAACACCTGGGTTCACTCCAGCTGTGCACATACAGGTCTAATCAACATAGCAAAGAGTTTGAGAACTGAAACAACAGGTAGATCGCTACCCACAGATCTGAACAACACTACAAAGGCTTTGAACGCTGAACAACCATGGGAACCACAGCCCACAGAAGCAAAGCTGGATGGAAACTGCAGACTGATTCTTACCATGCCAATTACCTATTAAAACAAAAATATTAAGATTTTCCATCAAATGCAAACAGGCCCAGAGTTTCATAATATTCAAAATGTCCAGGACATTATCCAGTATTATTCAAGATATGAAGAAACAAGGAAAACACCAACTCTAACTGGCAAAGAGAAACAATAGATACCATTGCTAAGAAGACACAGATGTTGGAATTATCTGACAAATACTTTGAAGTAGTTATTCTATAAATGTTCCAATAAGCAAGCACAAACACTCTTGAAACGAATGGACAAAGAGAAAGTTTTCACGATGAAGAAGTAGGAGTTACATAGAAGAATCAAATGGAAATCATAGAACTCAAAATACAATAAGTAAAAATCTCACTGGATGAGCTCAATAGCAGATTGAAAACAAAATTGAATCTCAACCTGAATAAGCTTGAATGATGAATAGAAATTATCTAGACTGAAAAACACAGAGAAAAAGAGGTTTAAAAAAATATAAGCTAAGCCTTTAGGACCTATGGGACAATATAAAAGGTCTAATATTTATGTCATTAGGGTCTTAGAAGGAGAGGAGAAGGAGGATGGTGCTTTAAAAATATTTGAATAAATAATGACAAAAACTGAACATGTTTGTTTCAAGATATAAATCTACAGTTTGGGGTAGCTCAACAAGCATCATTCAGTAAAAATTCAAGGAAATCTATGTGTATATATATCATAATCAAACCTTTGAAAACCATTGAAAGACAAAACAATCTTGAAGACATCTAGAGAAAAATGATGGATTATTTGTAGGGGAATAACTTTCAAATGACAACGGATTTCTTATCAGAAACCATGGAGATGAAAAAGAAGTGGCAAAATATTTTTAGAGTGCTAGCAGAAAAGAACTGTCAACTCAGAATTTTAGATCAGGAATAAAGGTGAAGTAAAGACAGGGCATGGAGGAGTTTTGCGGGATGATGGAAGTGTTCTATGCCCTGATCGTGGTGTTGGTTACACAAACGTATGCATGTGTTACAAATTTGTAACGCTGTACATCAGGAAGTCATTTTGATGTATGAGAATTAAAAATAAAATTAATCAAGAAAAAATGATCGATAAGAATATAAAGCCAGAAAATAAATGTATCTACAGATACCTAGATTTTAATATACCATTTCCCTCTCTCTACTGTAGTTCTCTTCTGGGCTCTTCACTGGGTGAACTCAGTGAAAGAGTAACATCACAGCGGATATCCAGCGAGGAGGTACGATTATGGTTATATTTATAATCGGGTGAGATCCCTTTTCCCAAAGCTAAATTCCCTGTGGCAATTCAAAAACTATATTCAGTATTTCAAATTATTAAGATATCATTTGTTGAATACTCTACAAACGAAGGAACCAGTGGCTGGTGCGCCATGAATGACTTGTGACCGGGTTCTCATGGATCAGTAACCTGGACACAGGACAGTAGTGGGAGCAGATGGCAGCAGGAGTGGGTTAGGAAGTGACTGGTGGTAGAATTCTACGTCATTAATCCTAGATTTTGAGTAGCACTCCAAGTGGACTAATCCACGGTCATTTTATGGTTCATAGCAGCATTTTTCAAACACTGTTCTAGAAGACCTAGGGCTCAGTGTCAATGTCTAAGGAGCACTGTCGGTGAGGGTGTGAAGAGACCAATAGGTGGTGTTTCCAGCCCCCACCATAGCCTCAACAATGTATTGGTTACAGAATTTGGTTTTCATGAAGAATTTTCTTGAAAATGGGGTTGTATTTCTAGAGGAGGAAAAAAAATGTGTCAAATGGGTCATATTAAACATTAGCCTCCTTGAAAGCATTCAGCCAAAAGCAGATACAGAAGTACAAGAACCACATTAGTGCATCTTAGTATCACTTTTTTTTTAAGTTTATTTATTTATTTTGAGAGAGGGAGAAAAATGCAGAAGTGGGGAGGAGCAGAGAGAGAGAGAGAGAGAGAGAGAGAGAAAGTCTGAAGCAAGCTCCACACTGTCAGCACAGAGATCGGGACAGGGCTTAATCTCAGGAACTGTGAGATCATGACTTGAGCTGAGATCAAGAGTCAGATGCTTAACGGACTAAGCCACCCAGGCGCACCTGTTACTATCACTTTTAAGAAGGAAGTGTAAGGGACTTTTAGAAGCAGTTAACTTTTTTCAGGAGGTTCAAGGACTGCTTTAGGAGAAGGTACTGAAATAGGAATAAAGCAAGAAAAAAATACCAAGGAAGTCTATACGAGAATGATATATCCAGTGGTGAAAATCAGAGAGAAACATATAACACAGTTTTCAGATTTCCCCGCTGACTTGCATGCAAATGAGCCCACATGCAGTATTACCTTCTGGATTCTCAGCACAAGTAATTTCCAGCCACTTCACTGAAAATGTGAGAGAGGTTAAAAAGAATGGGAAAGAGAGAAGAACGGAAGGCGCGTATCATGACAACAAAAGAATAATATGGGCCCATCCAGGTGAGCAATTTTAAAATCACTAAAGAATACAAAGAAAAGTCAGAGAAGATTTTAGAAGGTCTGATGTGAGAGCTAAAAAAAGGGGAGGGTATTTGAACATTGTAGGCTGACTGAAGGGAAGAGATGATATTCATATAGCCAGAAACGAGAAGGCTGTGACCAGAGTCAGGCATGACGTGACAAGGTGGGATCTGGGCCAAATGAAAGTCAGTAGAATTTTAGACTTACCTCATCCTCCCAGGAACAGGATCATGACAGCCTGCCTTAAGGTTAATAGATAGTGCCACAGGACCATGGTTAGTCTGAGAGCCTCCAACAAAACCAGGACTATGAAGTGAGTCTCACCTCTTCTAAATGCCTCAAAGAAGGAGGACCAGGTGTGTTGCTGGGGGGAGGGGCAATGTCAACTCACACGGAGGAGTCCTTTGGTCTTGCTTTCAGTACAGGAGATAAAACGTTATTTCAAGAATCGAAAAAGTGAGAGGTTAGCAAAAATAAGGAGTTCTTTGTCGGCTCACGTTAACTTATGGCAAGAGAAACAGGAAGAGAGGGGCATTGACTATTTGAGGACAGGCTGCTATAGATTACTGCCATCTCCAGCAAAAATCCATTCAGCAAGTCAAAAGATAACATGTCTTCAGTGTTATAAAATTTGAAAACTTCTAAAGCTCCTTTTCCAAGAGCTGCGGGTTAAGGAGGATTTGCATTTAGGTTTACGTTTTTTTTTTTTTCCTTTGTTTATTTTTAAATACAAGTTTTCTGAACCTCGTAATTTTCCTTGTGGTCTAGCAGGTCAATATATGTTTTGGCAATTTTAGAAAGCATGTTTTATTTATTTTCCCAATCAAACCAAAAAGCCCCTGAGGAGCCATTGTAGTCTATTGGTTAAATATGCTTTCATTCATACGCTTCTTTAAAAGGTTTATTATGTACAAATAGACAGTAATGACTTCATCTGAGCTAATCCAGTTCATCATGTCATTATCTATTTAGGGCATGTCCTGCATTTAGAAAAATCCCTATGAGAACCCTGTACAGAGTGCCAACAGTCACGGTAGCATTCATTAAATTTCCTGATTGCAGTATGATATGCATTTTTTTTTTTTCTAGCAAGGACTAGAATTCACTTCTTGCTCCAGTATCATTCAAGCAAAACCAATTCAAATACCTTATCTTGTTGTACCAATCAGAACCTGTGCCCAACTGGAAAGGTATAGTAGGTGTCTTTGGTCATTAGGGGGTAGCAAGGGAGAATATGATACATATTTGTCACTACCTTAGTACAGGGTATATAATAAAGTACACTGCTTTCAGGTTCCCAGACCAAAAGGAAATATTAGAATTTGGAATGCTCATTTCCATTTAAACTCTACCGTGGTTCTTAGAAGAGATTCTTTAAGTTCTATTTTGTTCATTATAAAGTTAAAGAAATTGCTCCATTTTTTATCAAAGAAAACTGGTATTTCTTATTGGACTTTTTTTCTTGTACCTAAAGGGAGAAGATTTGATAAAGTATTTATTGGCTACATTTTTCCTTATGGGCATCTAGCCATCATCATTCCGTGGGAGGTGAAATCTAAGGCAAACTCAGAGAAATGGTTATGAATCCATAAGAAGGAGACTGATAAACACATGCAGATATGCATCGGTAAGTAAATGAAATGGACCCATTCAGGGTTGATGCACACCCTTAAACCCCAGCCCAACTGGGGGATCCCAGGTGAGATACTCCTAAGGATTTGGTTGCTTTGTTGGTCTCCATCTTGCTTGGTGACACCTTTCCTTAAAAGACATGGGACAGCCTCCCATTACTTTTTGAATTTCATGCATTGTCATTGACCCTTTCAAGTTAATGAACTGAGGCATAAAAAGGAAAACGTAGATATCTTAACATTCACCTGAAGTGTGGTTAGGAGACAGAAACAGATCGACAAAACTCTCCCGAGAATGCCTTAAAGGAAGGAGTCATAATCCCCAAGACAAAGGTGGCGATGAGTTATCTGCACAGACTTCTGGCTTGCAGTAGTGAGGTGGACATGCTCTCAGCATTCAGGTCCCAACCAAACTCTTCAAAGCTACCCCAACATTGCATTTCAATCCATGTTTTGGGTAATAACATCAAGGGGCCATGAGCAAGTATGAGGCTCTGGAGGACTAGAGATGCTTAATTTTCCACTTTCTACATTTTTCTTTTGTTCCAGACAATTCCGGACTCCATTCCCAATTTTTTTCTCTCTATGTGCAAAAACTAAGGCTTTGTGCACTCTGTTGCTATGGAAACAGGAGAGAGAGAAACAGTTTATGTATTTCAAAAGCTGTCAGCCTATATGCTGTGGATTTTGATAACTAAACCTACACACAAACCACCTTTTCTCTAGTCCCAAAGCCCAACACCATAACATTTATTTTTTTCTACATGTGTATGTTGCTTGGGAAAATTAAGGATCTATTTATTTAGCTTTGCAGCAATTCATTTTATACTTAATTTAATGTCCAGGGGAAAGAGAGAGGCTTTGGTGACGCAGTTAGAGAAATATAAAACTGTTCTTAATAAATGCTTACTAAATCAGAATGAAGACAGAGTTAGCAGGCATCACAGCTCAATCTATTGACAAAATAAAAAAGATTGAAGCTCTATTAATTTTAAAACAGACCTGAATGTTGCCTGGCTTATATTTCATAGAAATGTAATGTCTGCTATGCCCTCTTCAGCTCTCTAATAAAAGAGCTATTTTGAAATTACAAAATACACTGTGTTCTCCCCCAGAGAACCCAATTCAATAGCTTATTGATTTTTCCTGGCATCCTTAGTCTGGTGTGAAGGGGTTTCTGGGCTCCTAGACCTGGAAGGAGGGAGTTTGTTTGTAATTGATTCAGATCCTGTACAGCAGAGCACTCCCCCCTCAACAAACACATAGTCTTTATAATAGTCCAGCCCGTTAAATCCTCACTTCCTTTTATTCTCAGTAGCTTTCCAGCACATCCTAATATTTTGGAGAAAATGACCACCATTGTAAGGTCATTTTTATCAAGTTTAGATGATGCAGTTAAGTGGACCAGGAAAAATTCATAAGAACTTCGGCCTTCAAATCTAGAGCACACTCCAGTAGTTAAAGGATCTGTCAAGCTCTCTGCTATAAGGCCTGCTTTCCCAGTCTTTAGATGAGTCACTTGAGCCTGAAAATCGGGGCTTTTCTGTTTTGTTTTTCTCCCCCTTCCATGAAGACATACTAGCAACAATTGATCGAAGTGTGCATAAATGACAAGACAAGGACGAATGAGACAATAATGAGGAATTAGTGTGGGTCCTCGTCGTCTTCTTTTTCTTAAAGAAATATCCTTTATCTTGAAAAAAAAAAAACACCTCAAATTCAAAGTCTACTGGTCGCAATATGGGTTTCAGAGTTGTATTAGCTTAGTCTCCCTATCTTATGTAGTCATTTCCCTAGTAGATTAGAATGGTTACAGAAGGATTAGCATTTTCCAAGGTAAACTATTTTGTTATTCTTAATAATCATAAGTATATAGCCCATTTTCCCCCAAAGGAACTTAAAATATCCAATTGACCTTACCTCATAAATACTTACCTTGTTCCTGAGAGGTTATACATTTTAAATTTCTATTAAAAATTAAAATTGCTGGGGGCAAATAAAACCCAGAGATATCAACTAGCCTTATCGAAGCAATTGACAGTGTCCATGATACATTACAGATAAAATGGAGAAACAAAATCTGGCTGATTAAATCTTGGGTATGCAGAATAAAATCATCTCCATTAATTTGGAAGAAGGGTTCTATGAAGTATAAAAGAGCTCCATTTCAGTAGCCCAGTCCAACTCACAGATTTTGTCAGTTATTCGGATAAGAATATTGAATGCATAATTATCAAATTTTCAAGTGACATATGCTGTAGGAATAGAAAATACATTGTACAGTAGAATCAGATTCCAAAAAGATACTAACATCTGGGGAAAATAGCTAAAGTTAAGCTATTTTCCCCAGATGTTAATATCTTCTATAAAATTTAGTAGAAATGCAAGGGCCTGATCTTAGATTAAAAAAAAAAAATTAGAAACAGCTGTGAAATAACAGCTTGGGAAAGATGTGAATTTTATTTTTATAGATTTTTATAACAACACCAATACGAACTTGCCATGTATTGTGTCTGATAAAAGAGCAAACATGGCCTTGGGCTGCATTTATATAATTATGGTATACTGAATAAAGATAGTGCTGTTTGGCTATGAGCTAGCTGGTCAAACATCTTTTAACAAGCTCACCTCTCTGATCTTAAGAATCACCCGCACCTCTTGATACAGAATCTCCTGGGGAAGGAACTCAGATAAACCAAAGTCTATTCCAGAGATGTGAAGAGAATGCTGAAGGCATGAAAGCCTATCCCATGATGAACATCTTCTGGAGCTAGTGATATTTAGCCTGGAGAAAGACCAAGGGAAAACATGGTAGTTCTCTTCATTATTTCCTCAGAGGTGGAATTAGGACTGATGTTTTGAAGTTACACAGGTGATATTTTCATATATATTTCATATATATATATATATATATATGTTTATATCTATATATCTATATCTATATCTATATCTTTTTTTCTTTTTTTTTTTTTTTTAAATCTGGGAAGTCTAAAGATGAACTCTATGGGTAGTGAGTTCTCATGTCTGGATCCAATTGTCAGATAGGTAATTAAATTAGTTAGCTTTTGAGTCCCCTTCTAAATCTGGATTGATAACTCTGATTCTAGATCTTGCTCAGGAACACACAATACAGTTCTCCCTGGCCAATAATAATAATATATTATAACATATAATCCATAATGCATCTGGACAATTGAAAGTCTGGATGGAACATCAAGTTTTATACTTAGTATGTAGAACAAGAGATTTTATTGAATTCTTCTTTACTTCTAAAAAGGAGATAACTATGTATTTACCATGGGAGGGAGGTCTTTATACCTATCACTTTGATGTAACCGTATGGTTGAAAGTGGCTAAAATGGTAAATTTTGTTTTGTATATTTTACCACAATAAAAAAGTTTCAAAGAAAAAAAAAAACTCAGATACTCTCACTCTGAGTGACCACATTCATCCCCCAGGGCAGTGTCAATAATTTGGTCAGCTTATTCAAAATAAAAACATTTTTCTAAAGACCTGGTTACCAGTTCCTCTTAAGTCTTCCCCTCTTTTGTCCTAGACTGTGTCACTTCTGAGAGTATTTATGGACACAGGGACATTTATATGGGCACACTGAGGGTGTGCTTTGAGTGAAGGAGAAAAGATTAGAATCCAATTTTTAAATGGAGGCTTTTTCCGGGGCATATGGGTGGCTCAGTTGTTTAAGCATCCATCATTTGGTCTCTGCTGTTGGGCTTTACAACTGGGCATGAAGTCTACTTAAAAATGAATGAATGAATGAATGAATGAATGAATGAATGCAGGCTTTGGCATACAAGCTATGATAAACTAAAATTTACCATTTACCTATGGGGAAAGAAGTGGGATTACAAAGTAGAGATGTTGGGAGAAGAATACGCACAATGAGCTGAGATTATTGTTAAATTAATTGATGTATCTCAGAAAGCATGCACATTCTCCTGTTGATAGTACAAGATGGCATACTTTATTAACATGACATTCATCCAGCAGAGCTTATTTGAAATTCATATTTACTGGCCCCATCCAGTGATTCTGATCCAATAGTCTTGGGTTGGAGAAATTAATGTTTTAAAAAGAAATCCAGATGTTTAAGAAGAAGCCTGCTGAAGAATACATTTTGAGAAACATTAACCTAGAAGATAGCCTAATCGTTCTCCCATGTCTTTCTCTCATGAGCCCTTTTTATTTTTAAAAATCATTGAGGACACCAAAGAACTTTTGTCCGTGTGAGCTATATCTATCACTATTTGCTGAATCAGAAATGAGTACTGATACATTTTTTTTTTTTTTATTTTTTCCAACGTTTATTTATTTTTGGGACAGAGAGAGACAGAGCATGAACGGGCGAGGGGCAGAGAGAGAGGGAGACACAGAATCGGAAACAGGCTCCAGGCTCTGAGCCATCAGCCCAGAGCCCGACGCGGGGCTCGAACTCACGGACCGCGAGATCATGACCTGGCTGAAGTCGGACGCTTAACCGACTGCGCCACCCAGGCGCCCCGAGTACTGATACATTTTTAAAGATATTTACTAATTCACCTAAAATAGCAATAATAAACCATTATAGGATATAGTCAATTAATTAATTCAGTTGATGAATTAATTTGGAAATCAATATTTTTCCAAAACAAAAAAATGTGAGATTGGCCTTGTTTTTCATTTTTGCGCATCCCACTGTCTAGCTTAACAGAAGACCTTTGAATTCCCACGCTACTGTATTCAATTTGATGGAACATGTTGCTTTTGTTGAAACATTTGAAGAAAATTTCACCTGAAAGAAACATGTAATTGGACAGGAGAAGAGTGTTTCTACAACCTTTTCATATATTTGTGGATTCTGCTCTTTGTACACTGAAACACAAATGGCTGTTCTTAAAGGTTAGTTGCAATGTGAAATCTGAAACTATGTTAATAATCCTTTTGTACTCTGTTACCTTAAACTCCATTAATCTATTTTGCACTTTGTGTGGACCTTTTACCCATGCATAATTTGGTAATGGCAAGCATTTCTTATTTGTAAAATCTCATTCTTTAGTTATATAGACCTTCCAAATGTTGGTACCTTTTTACTGTACAACATCAAACAATCATATTACACTTATTAATTTCACTTACTAGCCTTATCAGAAAAGTCTCATTGTGTTGGGAAGTTGCAAAGTTCATGATGGTGGATAAAATTTCTTCCACAATCATAATATGGTAATATTGTATATTTGTAACATTACGATTGTAATTTTACGTGAAGCAAGAACTTCACAGCCTGCAACAAACACTGTTAGTCATTTTTTTTCTTGCAGAAACAAACTCACTTATTTCATTTTAAGAAAAATGAGTACGTGGGGCGCCTGGGTTGCGCATTCGGTTAAGCGTCCGACTTCAGCCAGGTCACGATCTCGCGGTCGGTGAGTTCGAGCCCCGCGTCGGGCTCTGGGCTGATGGCTCAGAGCCTGGAGCCTGTTTTCGATTCTGTGTCTCCCTCTCTCTCTGCCCCTCCCCCGTTCATGCTGTCTCTCTCTGTCCCAAAAATAAATAAAGGTTGAAAAAAAATTAAAAAAAAAAAAAAGAAAAATGAGTATGAAATAGGTAAGTCTGCTAATCATGGAGTGTGTCAGTCATTCTTTGAAATGCAAAAAAAAAAAAAAAAAAAGTATTTCATGAATATGGTGGCTAGTTCAGCTTGCAACTCAAGCAAAAACTATGCCCATGCTTTTCCTTGAGGCAATCACTGTATGTTAGTATGCAGTAAATGTACTTTTTAAAATATTTCTCATTTTATGACAAGTATTTAATATGTGTTTTTTTCCATTTTATTTTATTTTTTTCATCATGATAAGTGTACTCTTTAATCCCTATCCCCTATTTCCCCCACCTTCCCTCTGATAACCATCAGTTTATTCTGTTTAGGTAAGAGTCTTTTTCTTGGTTTGCACACCTCTTTTTTTTTCTTTGTTCATTTCTTTTGTTTCTTAAATTCCACATTTGAGTGAGATCATATGGTATTTGTTTTTCTCTGACTTATTTTGCTTAGCATTATGCTCTCTAGCACTACCCATGTTGTTGAAAATGGCCAGATTTCATTCTTTTCTTTGGCTGAGTAATATTCCATTGATATATATGTGTACCATATTTTCTTTATCCATTTCTCTTTTGATGGACACTTGTGCTGCTTCCATAGTTTGGCTATTATAAATAATGCT